GTGATGTTCTGTCCTCCTGTGTCTTTGTACTCTAAAACAATAATATGAAAATTTATTGTGAATTCTGAAAGATTTCTCTGTTTTTCAGATATATTTACTGATTTTTTTCTATTTCACTAATTTTGAATATTAATAAGTAATTATGAACTAGATACTGTCCAATTTGGCAGTGGAAGGAGGTTTTGCAAGAAACTGTCCAAATTTATTTGAACGTACTTCCAAATTACCATGATAGCGCATAATATTGATTTTGCCTGTTGGAAGAAGTCGTTTTTCCTCGCGACTACCAGGGTCGTCACAAAGTTTTCGAGTTGGTGGCTTTATTTGTTGGAGTCGGTGGCTGATTTTGCAATCTTTGCTAAAGAATCAGAAGAATAACCCAGCTAACATCACAAAGTAGATGTAGCGGGCTACTTTTGACAACCCTGGACTATGTACTTAGTGCTTAAGTCCCAGACTGAGTATTTGGAGTTATACATGTACGTGCAACTGCCTGGCTAAAATATTTTTTATTTAATGATTACCTGTTGTCATGTTCGTCAGGTTCATGTTGGGACAAAAATTAACAAGCAGATCCCCATTGAACTGAAGTAAAATGCCAAAAGTTGAACTTTGAAAGGCTTCATGATTCATCCTTGGCACATTAAGTTCACTGCATAAACTATCCTGGTATGCCAGCTGCTGCCAACCTAATTTGGTACACACCTAAATGTGTTTCAATCAAAGCAATGGATGTTTATTGGATATTTAAGGGGCTAAGCTTCAGAAATCTGGGAAGAAACACTATACTAGGTTCCTGTGTGAATATTAGATTACATGCAAATTGGTTTAAATCACCTAACTTGGTTAGAATTTTTTTTTTTGGAGGAATCTTGTGTGGCTGCAAGTGATTCAAGGTTAATTCTCATTAATTTTATGGTTTTGGCTGCTGCAATTTTCTTTTTTGTTCTTATATTTATCCCCTCCATCATCTTTCCAATATTAGTTCTGCTTTATCCTTCCTCCCCTGGTATATTTCAGCTGCAGTAATTTTATTTCTAACAGGCTAAACAGCATCTC